ATACCTCACTCCAACGCAAAGAAGCGAAGCAAATGGTGCTGTAGAGCGAGTCCACTCAACAATAGAGGAAATATCCAGATGCCTACAACAGGAACATCGGAATTTACCATTTAAAGAAATAATTAACATTGCCGTCGATCGCTACAACAACAGCATTCACTCCGTTACAGGAAAGAAACCATCAGACATTTTTTATGGAAGAACGCAACGAATCAATTACCAAAATCTAACCAACTTTCAAGACAAGGTTCATGAAGATCTCGCTGAAAGAATTCGTAAAAGCCAAAAGGACAAAATAAATAGAGAAAAGAATAAAAGGAAACAACCTAAATCATATGAGCCTGGAAAAGCTATCTTCGTTGCCGATAAACAAATAAAGAGCAAGAACAAACCTCTTTATAAAAAGGAAATAATAGCTAGGAATAACAATGTTACAGTCACAACCGAAAGCGGAAGAAGAATTCACAAGGCACACATAAAGAATTCTCCCAACTAACAAAACATTTTTTTCTTTTCAGCCTATTATTTAGGGTTTCAACAGCTTTACAAATATATGAGTTCAAGTCACCTATCATGACTATAAAGGAAGGCGTGGGACGAATATTAAATGGAAATCTAAAATTAGTTCACAGGATCGACCTCACCAATTACGAGGACGTGCTACAGAGATCAAAAGTAGAAGCAAACCAGTTAAATTTCAGCAAGTTCACCAAAACGCAACTCACCTTCCAAATTCAACAAGCCGAAGATTTGATTAAAGAGCTGACGGAACACTCCGCCATAAGAAAACGATCGATAAATTGGATTGGCAGCGCCTGGAAATGGTTAGCAGGTAACCCTGATGCAACCGATTGGGATGAAATACTTAGAAGCAATAACAATTTGATCCGGAACAATAATGAGCAATATCATATAAATCAAGTTCTAACAAATACAACAAAGCATATTCTGATGCAATATAATAGAATTATTCAAAGGTTCGATGAAAATTCAAAAGAAGCTAATTACCAAACGCTTTTCAACCAAATTAATACGATAAAGGAAGAAATAAAAGAAATCGTAAGAGCAGTCCAATTAGCCAAAGGGAAAATAGTGAACACCAACTTATTAAATAAAGAGGAAATCAACCAATTGATTTCTGAAATGCAAACATTACCATATTTCAATGTTATTGATGCAATTGAGTACGCTACACCAACAGTAGTAGTCAAAAACATGACTCTACTCTACATATTATCACTACCCAAAACCAGCGGTGTCGAATATAACTATATTAAAATCAGAGCCACCACTAAAAATAATAAGCAGTTGCATCTAACCTACAAAAGTCTACTAACAAACCTCAAACAAATTTTTGGCATTAGCAACGAGTGTAATAAGTATAAAAACACCTTTATCTGCAAAATGGATCAAATAGAAGAATTACATGATGACCACTGCATCACCCAAATTCTGAGAAACAGCAACAATACTTGCGAGTACGAGTTCAACAGAAGGGAATCAGTCGAAGTAATCAATGAAAATACGATATTTCTCAATAATTTCAACGGAGCAGTCAAAGCTAACAACAAAACAAAAAACCTAAACGGTAACTTCGTCATAGAATTTTACAATGAAACAATCCAAATTAAAAACGAGACCTATACCAACAAAGAATTCCAATCGTCTCAAATCATTTTGCCACCTATAATGAGCGACAACCATTCCTCAGGAAAAATGAAACTCAACCTCGATTATCTGCATAATTTGCACTTGGGTAACGTCAAACAACTGAGCGAGCTCACTACAACTTCAGCAGTTAGCATAACATTCAATGCCGCATTTACCTTAATTATCATCGCCATTTTACTAGCAGCAGCTATCTACAAATACCAAAACCGGAAAAAAATTAACATCTCTCTAAAAACGTCAGAACTAGGAGAACTGGAATCAAAACTCCAACCAGTAAAATTGAGCTTCTGATCCACGTGGACGCGGATCTTAAAGGAGGGAAGAGTTAAGACATTATGATACACGCGCATAACATCAGACGCTGAGGTCAGCATAATTTTCATGAGAATATTGTTTAGCCATTTACCTGTGAAAACTCTATTTTTATAATTCCCACAATAAATGCCTAATAAGCATTTTTAACTTTATAATTTAGCTTTAACTTTATAAATGTAATATTTTGCTTAATAATCAATTATTTACTATAAATATGTTCAAAATTAGTAATTAAGGGCAGTTAAGTTTTGTTATTACAATTAAACACATTAACTCAATAAAACGGACATTAGTCCACGAAAATATTTTTTTACAAGAAATTGAACGATAATTTCTTAACTTATATATGTATATATATCTACATATATAATATAATATATATCATGCAATATATGTATACATATATATATATATATATATATATATATATATATATATATATATATATATATATATATATATATTATATATATAATGCTGTATACTTAACATACTTTTATTATTATATTATATATAATATTCAATCAGTTGAAGTATATAAACCTACATTTTTATTCATATTTGTATAATAATAATAATCTATTATTAATATATATCATTATTATTATTATTATCAGTAAATAATGAATTTATATGCAAATGTATAACTTTCTTTTACTTTTTCACTGCATTTAATGTGTTTCACCTACATGTATGATTTTTTATTAATTGATGTTTTATTTTAATTTTTTGTTTTTGTTTACTATTTTTTATAAGTAGAATGACAAAGAAAATAAAATAATTTTGTATTACGATTCTTTTATATACACATATATATTATATATGTACACATTTATATACAAATGAAATAGAAAATTTTTAATTTAAAGGCTTATTGACAAAATGCTGTCACTTGATTTCAATTGTCCAGCTGATAATTATAATATAATTTAAAACGATAATACGTGATCAGAAATTGAGTCGTATGTTGTCATTGTATCTTATGGTCATTTGAAATTTTCAATTAGATTACTAAAGCCGAATTTTTTTTGGTATTCATAATCTCATAGCATCGTGAATAAGCCTGCATTTTATATTTACAATACTTTAATGATTATTTTTTTTTTCTTCTTTTCAGTAGATCTTTGAGTTTCATATTATATTGTAAAAATAAAATTTTTGAATCTAATTCAGCATATTGAAATAAATTGCTGAAATTAAACATAAAATTAATTCAGCTTAATAATAAATAAATTTTTGTATTGAATTTAAATACAATGCTTTGCTGCATTATATGGAACTAAATGTATTAAATAAAAATTTTATGTATATATATTATGTATATATGTTTATTATATATTGTTATATAAATACTTATCTTAAATATTATACATTATATATATATGTATTAATTTTTAAATAAATATTTCAATTTCCGCGTAAAATTACCTGATATTTCATTCTAAATATTGTTTTCTTTTTTTTTTTTTTACTTAATATTTATTATTCTTTCTTTATAGCTTTTGTTGTTTTTTTTATCAAATTTATATATATGTATAGGATTGTAATATTTATTATATACATTTAAATCATTATTATGCTACGAGTATTTTTTTTTATTTATTTATCTTATTTAATTTAATTAATTTCTTTTCTTGTTCTTCTTTTTTTCTTTTTTGTTGTGGGCTACATTAAATTCTATTTTATTATTTATTTTTGTTAAATTTAGTTCTCTTTTTTTTATTGTATATATAATATATTTATATATAATAATATATAGTTTATAATATTCATACATAAATTGTATATATATCAATTTTTTTTTAAACTTAAAATTAATTTAAATTAAAATTTTTATTTTATTTAATAATGGTTTTTTTTTTTTGGTTTTTTTTTAATAATAACATTTTGAATTTATTGTTTAATTTTTTTTTTGTATTTGCATTATAATATGAAATTATATTTTTTGTATTTAAAAATTTATTTTTAAATTTTTTTTTTAATGTAAATTGGTACAAAGCTTTATAATATTAATAAAAAAAAAATTTAATTACAGTTAAAAGTTTTTTGGTTTTGTTTTTTAATTAAAGAACAAAATTTGTTAACACAAATGAGAAAAACAATAATTACTATACATAATTAATTAATAAAACTTAATAAATAAAATATATAATTTATATAAATTTGTATATAATATAATAGGAATGTTTTATTTTTATGAAAATCTATGACAAAATAAAATTATTTTCAATTAAAATTTTTAAATAAAATTTATTAAAAATTAAGATTACTAATATTAATAATATTAAAAATAAATAAAATTATTAATTATTTTATTATAATAATGAAAAATAATTAATTTATAACATAAACGCACACTTATATTACAAAATTTATTTTGATAATTTTTTTTTTATAATTTTTAAGTCTTCATTTTGTTTTTAAATTTAATACAATTTTTTATAATTAAATGAAAGCATTATTTTTTTAAATATTTTCTATATATGAATTCAATTATTTTTTTATTTTACTAATCAATTAATACATAATATTTTTAATTAATATTATTTTTTTTAATTATTTTTTAATTTTTTTTTTCACGAAACAATAAAATTTTGTAATTTTTATATTTATACATTGCATTTTCATATTTTTAATTATAAAAACAAACAATTTTTTTTTTAATTTTATATATAAGTATGTATGTATAATTAAAATACATAACTATATATACATATATAAAATTACATACATAGATCAAAATTATAAATTACATAGTGGCATAATATTATTATTGTTATTATCATAAAATGCTTACCGGGATTTTGGGTGTTTTTTTTTTGCTGTTAAAATTTTTGTTGCTTTTTTATTGTATAACATGTATTTACATATATACTAATAAAACATATATATAAAGTATACACAACATTTAGATTTTTGCATTAAAAATGAAAATTTATCTAATATATTGTTTATTCTTTTTTTAGTTTATTACACATACATATACACATGTCATGTTGATATATTTTGAATAATATTAATTACATTAATTAATTGAATTTAAATTTATTTTTAATGTATAATGTACTTAAATATTAAGTAAATAATTTGAAATTAAATAATATGTAAGGGACTATAACAAAGAAATTATATTATTTCTATAAAATAATGTTATTGGTCTACATTCTACACATACATAGGTATTCGTAAAATATGTAAAATTTTATTGTGAATAATGATCAGATATAATTTATATATACATTAAATGAATGCTAATTTTTGAATATTTTAATGGTAAAATTTTCATTCGAGAATTTCATTTGCAATAAGAAATATTTTAGAATTTTTTTTTCCTTAGCTAAAAATAACAATATCGATATAGAGGTTCAATCAATAATAATTAAATCCATGTGGTTCATGGAATACCAATTCAGATGGATATTTTAATAGCCATTAATTGCTAATCGCCTTCATATGTTGAAAATCTGAATTAATGTCAAAATGATTGAACTGAGCCACATATAATAGCTCATCATGAAAATAAAGCATGAAAACTTCCACAATGCTTTTAATACCACTTTCTATTATATCGTATTAAGTTGTTGTTGCAGCCTATTGCTAAGTATACGTTCCGAAATTCAAAAGAAAAAAACTCTATATTTAAAAAAGAATTTCATAGCAATTTACGGTTCCATTTAATGTTGCTATAGTTTACATCTGGATAACCGTTATGTTGAACCAATTTCTTGCCATAATATTGCATTTAGTAATTTTTTTTAAAAAAATATCCATTTAATTTCCATATCAATAGTGTAACAAATGCATTAAAAAAAATAGTTCCAATAGTTAAAAATTATGTAATATTCCACAATTTCTAAAATTATTTGTCATTTAGCATTAAAACGGTAACACTGCTATTTATTCTAAAATATTTTAATTACAGTAATCTTCTTAAATGAAAATTTACGCTATATAATTATACAATTTTTATACAAAAAATAATATTGTGAACATTTAATTTTTTAATTTATTTTTACGTGAAATTATGCAATGATTAAATACAAATAACATTCATTGTTCTTATATTGTGTATAATAAAATATTGTAAAAAATCATTTAAAAAATATTATTAAAATAGTTTAAGATTACCATCAGTGTATTATACTAAAATATTGTTTTTCTATTGAAAATTTATAAATATTGAAAAATTTAGTAATTATTTAAAAAGCATCTACTTAAAATTGTGTTTATTAATACATATATAATTAAAATTATATTTTATTTTCGAAATTATTAGAATTTATAAAAAAATTCTAATTATTTATAAAATTTTTACTTAAATGAATAACAAAGTTTACATTACTATTACTTTTTTTTTATTTTCTCATATTTTATGTTCACGCAAAAAGAAATTTGTAACCTCAATGTGAAATACTAAAAAACTTTCGCGGAGTACTCTGAAAATTTATTTCTTATTTTAATTATGCTTCCAACAAAATTTGTAAATTATTAAAGTGATTTGAATTTTAAATATATTCACAATATTATATATACATTTTTTCAATGTATTTATATTTTTTGATCAATTCACAATATTTCCAATTAAATACCAATGAAATTATATGTGTATTATAAAAAATTATAACACAATTACAATATTTTGAATATTTCCAATAAGAATGAATTGTTAATATACGAAAAAAGAAGAAAATAAATGAATTTTTATTGATTTTAATAATTATAAATTTAATTTTTGTATATTTGTTAAAAAATTTTAACAATTTTAATTTAATAATTTGTTTTTGTTTTTCTTATTTTATCAATACTAATATTGCAATTCTTTTATTATTCTGATTTCGATTTTACTTATATTTTATTTTATTTTTTTAACATATTATTTTTTCCGTCCTTCAACAAATCAATAATAATTTATTATTAATAAAAAATATAACTTTAACAAATAAACTTTTAACAATATTTTCTTTAATATATTAATGCTGTGGAATTTATTTATAAATTTCTGATTTAAAAATTAAATAATTAATTATAACTTTATTTTTATTTTTCCTATTAGGATTATTCTTATTTAATATTGTATTTTTTTTTTTAAATTAATTTACATATTTTTATATTAAAGGTATAGAATATTGTGGAAAATGTGCAATTTGGTTTTTTTTTTGGTTTTTTTGGTTTGTTTAATTTTTTGTGGAGGATTTTTTCTTAATAATTAATTATCTTGTATGTCTAGTTTTAATTTCATTCTTATTGATTTTTAACTACAAATTTATATATGTTTATATATATACAAGTGTATATATACAATATATATATATATATATGAATATGATTTTATTTTTAATGAATTTAACAATTTTATTTATTTAATTTATAAGTTTGTTCTATAATTTTGTTATTGTTTATTATTGTAGGATTCATTCATTATTTTTATGGTTATTTTATAATTTTATTTTCAATTATAATTTTATATTTTACTTTAGTTAAAGTGTAAGGATGTTAAAAATTAAAGGATTGCCCAAAAATTAAAAAAAAATATTAGTTATAAAGTTATTAACCTTGAAATAATTAAAAATAGAATAATTTTTAGAATTATTGAAATAAAATGTTACAAAATTTTAATGATCATTAGCTTTGATCAATTATTAATTTTCAATTGAAAGAAAACCTGAATTTATTTATTTCTATATATTCAAAAAGAGCCTGAAATATTAATTGCTATTAATATTTTGAGTAAAAATTCAATTCTAAATATTGAGTCTAAACATAAAATAATAAAATAAATTTTATGACTAAAATTTAGACATATGTTTATACATATATATATATATATATATATTACAATTACTTTAAATGAATACATACATAAAATCAAATGAAAAATATTTTTGATTTAAATGATTTTCTCATTTAATCGCTCTATTTATTTATTTTTATTAATATTTTACGTATCAAATTTATCTCTCTACGCGCCTCTGTTTTATTTTATGTTCTTCTTTTGTCCCGTAATTTTCAATTTATTTTAATACTTATTTATTGTCAAAAAATTTAAAATATTAAAATAATTAAAATAAATATTTTGTTTTTTAATATTACACTGCATACATTTTAAAAATCGTATTTTATTATTAAAATTGGTAACAATAAACTTACATTGAGGAAACGCAATATTGCAAAAAATTCCAAATTTAAATAAAAATAAATTTTGTGAATTATCATTTTAAATCAAAATAAAATATGTATTGTGAATTAGCAAATAATTAGAGAAAATTAAAATATTCGATGTTTTAAAATATTTTAAAATAACCTGAACAATAATTTTAAAATGAATTTTTACATAATTTTTTTTTTTTATATTTTTTTTTTTTTTTTATTTAATACTCGTTTTAATTTTAATTGTCGCGAAAATTCTATATGATTTTTTACATTTAAAATGGTTCTAAAACAACCATTTTGTTAAATACTAAATATACACAGCACATAAATATATAATAATTTTATATGACTTAATTTTCCTTTTTTTTTGATAATTTTAAAAAATTCATTAAATTTTGCTCTAATATATGCGCATTTTTTATAATTAAAAGTAATATGAATAATAAATGAATGTTCTATAAATTTTGTTGTGTAACGAATGAAAGTTATATAAAATTAAAAAAAAAAAACAATTAATTATTATACCATTTAATTATTTTAATTAAATTTAAATTTTTTAATTTTAGATTAAAAAATTATTGAAAACAATATTAAAGTACAATTTATTTAAATTAATATTTTTTTTCATTACATTTTCTTTATTAATTTTGACGCAGCTTAATAATACAGATATAGTAGGTTTATATGCATGTATTTATAACGAAAGTAATAAAATTATTGCAGTTCAATATTTCATATATTATGTATTTTGTTTTTTTGTTGTTGTTCGCTCTTAGAATTAAAGTATAACAATTTTAATTTTAATTAGAATCTGAATCTGAATCACTTGGTAACGCCGGTGAATGCGATACAGGTGTTGTTGCAGGCTCTTCTTTTATTGGTTTTGTAGCTGCTAAGTAAGCATTAACAGTTTCACCCTGTGTAGTCTCAATTCCAACCCTAAAATATTTAAATATTTGAATGGATTTAATATACTTAACAATTATTCTTCTGAACTATTGTATACAATTACGTACGGGTTTACAAGCACAAGAAACAAATGAATATTTCTTTAATTCTAATATAACAGAAATTGTATGTCATAGTACTCGTATTAATAGGATTTTTTGAAAATTTCTCAATTTCTACATTTAATATTCAAAGAAAATATAATATTTAATAATAATCATAACATACCTGTATTCATGCCTCGCTAAATATCTAACATATTTCTCTGGTGGCTCATCACTATCAGAATCTTGAACACTAACTGATCTAACTGTAGTATGAGATACCTGTGTTGCAGGCATTGTGAACTCTACATAAGCATATGGTGCTAATTGCTCTGGTATTTGATCATAGGAAGTGAGAGCCATTCGACAAACCATTTGATGGGTTGTATAAGCGCCTATTCAAAATAAAACCGAAATTAATTAAATTTCTTAAATTTGATTATTCGAAATAGAATTTTTACCTTGACCCTCTTTAGGCAATCTTGGACAACGCCAAACTATAGCCCTATGATGATGCTCATATTTTGCTTGCCCAGATGTTACTTCAATCAAAGATTCTTGTAAAGTTTCAACAGTACCCAAAATTCTTTCTATTCCTTTAATTTTGCCCGTTCGTCTATGAGCTGATTTAACTGACCCATACCTAAAACAAAATTAAGTACGAAGTTGAAATAGACATCCTTATATAAGTCGACATCACACACAAGAAAAAAAAATTTAATATAAAACATCGTAAACAATTCACCTAAAATGTTTTTCAACTCTAAATAGATAAATCCAGCATTCTGGAATAGGAAATCTTATGGAAACGTCTTCGCATGGTATCTGTCCAAGTTTTTTTGATGTAAAACCTGGAACAAGAATGTCCGCTTTTAATTCGACACGGTTTCCAGTAACACACCAGGAAGCTTTCAGTTGTAAGGGTAATTCCCTATTTTTAGGTGGTCGCACTCGAAATCTCATCAATTCAATATAACAAGCATCAGGTGGTTGAAATCTTGAAAGGAAATTTGCATTTAGAATTAATTAAAAATCAAAATATAATTTATATATTTCTTTTACTTAATAGTCCGACTTCTTTCATACTCGTCTTGTTGCACGACATTATGAAATTCCACGCCTTCGAGTCTAATCCATTCTTCAGTAACAACTGGTATAATATCGTGTCTTCCAACAACTTCCTTTCCTTGCCGCCACATATCATTCAAGCCCAATTCAATTGTAGGCATACCTTAAATTTTTTTATAGAATAATATTAATATGTCTTTTTTTGAGTACCGTTAAATACCTGACAAAAAAGCCAAGAAAAATAAGCGAACCCGCGCGATTTGTTTATGCACGTGACCATCGGAATCTTGCTCCACATAAATTTCATCGACAGCCGTTACCTGTACTTCTTCCATTTTATAAGTTAAAGCTCTGTCACGATGAGCCGACAATTTAAACAACGCTTCTTCGACCAAGATTGAAAATTGCTTTAAATCTTCGTAAGTCATAGTACCAAGCTTCGCTAATTGTGATGACTGAGGTGCATGTTCAACTGGTAGACCCAATTTCTTTAAGTCACTACCAAATTCTTTCACGCCTGCATAATCACCAGCTATAGCATATTGAGCAAACTGACTTAACTTATTTGTTATTCTTTCCGCTTTAGTTATTTGACCAGGTCGTACTCCTGGGCGTTCCTTATAAAATATGTACTGTAATTTCAACGTGAATATTTTTCCAAACTGGTCAAACTGTTGTGCTGCTATTTCTGAAACCGAATATGAAGGTTGCAATGGTAGTTCTTGAAACGGGCTTTTATCTGTTGCTTGATTGAATAACTGAACAACTGGTACATCTCCCTGATAAACAAGTTTTGTATAAATTTTTTTCCAAAATCTTTGCCCTGTAATTTTTTTTTTATTAGGTTGCCTAAGGTGCATTTCCCATCCAGAACCCGTGTAATTGAGTCTTGGAAAATCTTCGAGTGGCTGTGAAATATCTTCATCGAACAGTGGTGTTGGTGGTGTTTCTTGAGAATCAGTGCGTTTATGTGTCATGTCTCCACTTAATTCGGCCTGCTCAAATGGATTTACAACCCTGGGTGATGAGTCTCCAGAATAAATAGAGTTATTTTGCGACGTTCGAGGAGGTGGTGCCAAGGCCGGTGCGAGACCGCTTGATGCCGAAATATCTTTAGGTCTAATAACAACATTGAAATCTTTCTCTTCTGTAGAATCAACTGAATCCCTTCTATTATAAGAAGGTTCGGGAGCCCAAGAATCAAAGCCAGTGTCATCAGCACCAAAGCCCGCATCGGAAGACTCAGTTCCAAAAGCATTAGTTGAACCCCAAGCTGAAAATATAAATTTTAAAATTTATGTTTAATATAAATACCTTTATATCAAACCGTCATCCACAGCTGGTCCTGATTGAATTGAAATTCCAAATCCATCTAAAAGTCCACCTTTTTCTTTTTTAGCAGAGTCAAATTTTGCTGCAAAAGCATCAAACTCATCAGGCTCTGCAAAAATATTTGTTGGCGGTAACGCTGGTCTTTGTGGCACAGTTGGAGGTGGTGGTCGCGCCACTGGAGGTGCTGCAAAAATATTGTTTTGGTGCTCCTGATTTATATTCATTTCAGTGGAATATGCATTTATATTAGAGTTCATAACAGATTCTTCAACAGCAAATATGTTAGTCACACCAGTAGTTTGAGTATATTCTAAAGGATTTTCATCTTCTGGGCTGGCAAAAGGATTAGCAGAAGCACTACCGCTAGCAGGTGCAAAATCTAAAGTTGTGTCCATTTGTTCTGATTCCTGAATATTATTCACATTATCATTTGGTGAATCTGGTATAGCTTGTGTTGTAATATTTGACTCAGTTGGCGGACTATAATCTGAAGACTCAACATTTTTTTGATCACTTTCTAGTTCCACTTCAACTTCCTTATGTGGTCTTACTATTTTGTTTAAATCTTACATAAGTAGTTATCATAAATTTTAAATGTATTTATAAGATCTTACCTATACCATGTGGAATAAACTCATCCTCTTCATCTGATCCAGGGCGATCACCAACCGTCGTTATTTCAATATCGGGAGTCGGAGCACGAATAATCGGTTGAACTGCTGCTATAGAATCCATTGTAGGTTCATTTAATGCAATTTCATTTGACTCTTCCTCGGCCTCATCAACTTTTGCTACAACTTCCGGCTCAGTGACCGTACTGGAAAATATCGCATCGGGTTCTTCTTGTGTTTGTTGTACTACTCCTTTTTCAGACTGCTCTTCTTGTATACTTAAAATATCGGTTGAGTCCACAGCGGACTCCTCCGCTCCATTTCCTTCTTGAGCTAAAATATCATTCTTCTCTTCCTGTCCATTATCTAACACTAAATCATCACTTAAAAGATCTGGTTTTGGAGGTATGGGGGGTTTTGATCCTTTATCGAAAAGACTTAAGATATCTTCTTTTGATTTTGGAGGTGGTGGTTTTGGTGGTGCAGCCGTACTTGTTCCAAACATATCAAATAGATCCTTTTCATTATTTTGAACTGGAGTAGCTTGAACAGGACCTGGTCCACCCATAACAGAAGGTGCAGGTGGTCTTGGAGGTGCTCCAGGCCTTGGAGGAGGTGGTCGTGCTGGTTGCGTTTTAGCAGAATTGTTTGGTAAAGTTGGCTGCATGCCAATACCGAAAGGATTATCAATAGTTTCGCCTAAGAAATCATTATTTTGATCGTCTGTAACATCAAATAAATCAGGTGTTGGACTAGGTGAAACGAGATCTCTCATCGAAACTGGACTAGGTGTTCTTGTTACAGGAATTCTATCTAACATAGTCGAGCTTGCTTCATCTAGCTGATCTGCTACCGCACAAATTAAATCTTGAGTGGTTTGAGATGGTGGAGTGGGCCTCGAAGGTGGAATTTTCTTGACTGGAACATCTTCTATTAAATTAGTTTGATCTTCACTTTGTTTTCTAGAGGAAATATTGGTCTCGTCTTCTTGTATAGTCGTATCAAAAAAGCTCATTGCGGCATCATTTGTATTAGTGTCATCTACATCAAATATATTTGACATAGATTCGGGTTTTTCTGATATTTGCAAATCGTCATCAGCATCATCACCAAAGGCGAATGGATTTGTACCTTGAAATGAATTATCATAATCTGTTTCTTCTTGTTGTGTGTCATCTAGCAAAAATGGATTAGGTGCACTGTCCCCGGAATCCAGCGGATCATCATCCATCAAAAAAGGATTAGCCATGTTTTTTTCTAATTAGTTTTTTGGTAAGTTTATATTAAATTTGTATAGTGTAAGCTTCAAAATTTATAATTAGTTGGAAAACTAATATTTTTTCTCAATTAGTTCGCTTTCAATCAGCTTTATTTCAACTTGACCTGGCCCTAGATTTACTGCAAAAGATGTATCAAAAGGATCGATTTCTTCAATGCCGTCTGATGGTGGTGTTGTTAACTGCGGTGTTAAAACTTTATCCCCTAACCCCAGCTCTTGTGCGTCTGTTAACGTATCAAGAACTCCTGTAGTAATTTCTGGGGTAGTTGGAGGCAAAAGTTCGTCTTCCAAAAGTTTGAGTTCTGTTCTTCCTGGTTGAATGTTAGATGCAATCGAGGTATCAAATGGATCACCAGAATCTGTTTCTGTTCCGAAAAAGGTTTTATCTTCTAATTTTGGAGTCAAAACCTTAATATTTAGATTTTCCTCAACTGCTAATAAATCTGAAGCTGGCTTTGGTTGTTCTTTAATATCGTCGGCTCTGGGGTCAAAATCTGGATCTGATAAACTGTGTTTTAATTTAGAACTGGTTAACAAATCCTTTTCTAAATGTTTAAGTTCAATATCTGTTGGCACAGTACTTGGTACAAAAGATGTATCAAAAGGATCTTCTAACTCTTTTTCAGCAATAGCTTCCGGTGGTGCATAATAAGGTGTCAACGGCTTTTGTATTTTTCCCCCCTCACTATTTACCGCTAGAAGATCGTTACTTGGAACTAAGAACCCAACTGATTTTGATTGTATATTCAAAGTTAAAGAAGATTTTCTTCTAGCTGGATCAAAATCTGCAGGAGGAACTACAACCTGTGGTTTTATTTCTTCTTTTATTTCTTCAGCACGAGGATCAAATTCAGGATCACTTAATGAATTTTTGAGTTTAGAATCTGATAGAAGATCTTTCTCTAAAATTTTTAATTCAGTTTCTTTTGGTTGTACTAGTTTTACTACTGCCGATGTATCAAATGGATCAAAATCTTCGTCTTCTACGTCTATACTTTCTTGAGCAGGAGCAATAGGTGTTTGAGCTAAATCTGTATTACTTCCACCTAACAAATCTTTTCTTACAGCAGGAACTAAACTATCTGATGGTTTTTTTCCCGATAAATTAGCGAACAAATCTTCTTTTGTGACTTTTATTACTTCTGCGGCCTCTTCGCCGGCTCTTGGATCAAAATCGAAATCGTCGTCCTCTTCTTCTTTATTAACTATAACTTGTTCAACAAAAGCAGTATCAAATGGGTCGTCCTCTGGAACATTGAATTCGTCGTCACTTAATTCTTCTACTCCTGATGGAATATCACCTGCCCCGGAGGGACCAGTTGGTGGCCTTGGCGGCCTTGGAGGTTTGGCTACAATTAAACATTTTTTAAAAAAGCTAATTTAATTTAATTATATGTATTTTTACCTTTATGTTGTGCTTTCTCTTCTTCGGTTAATTCAAATTCAGCCCAATCTCCTTCTAAAGTCGACGCAAATTGTATTGGTTGTGGTTGAGTAATAACTTTAATTTCTTCCTTTTTAGTTAACGATTCTGCAGCTAATTCAGCAAATTCGTCATCTTCGTCTTTTTTTAATACATCAAATTCTGATAATATATCATCAGGTAGTTTATTAGTTTCTTCTTTAGGAGAATCCTCTTTTGCAACTTCTTCGCTTTCTTCTTGTTTTTTATTTGCCGGAATTAAATGTAATGAAACACTTAGATCGATAGGAATATCTGGAATTTCATCTTCGAAGTCATCTAATAATGTTTTTGGTGGCTCCGGTGTTACAGATAATTCCTCTGGTAAATTTGCTACTTCCTCTTCACTTTCAAGTAACAAATTTGTAATTCCTCTTCGAGGTTTCTTTTTCGCCCCACTTAGGGCAACAGCTTGAGCGCTGTCAACCCTTCCTGTTAAGACTTCAACAGCTGATCCTAGTGCAACTAACTTTTTACCTGTTTTTGATACTTGGGGACCAACAATTACTGTATCCGCATATGATGTATCGAAAGGATCTGGACCAAGATCCTCAAATTCAGGTAAATCAGGAACAACAGCTAATTGAACTTCACCACTTGTTATAGCATCAATATAACCGGTTTCAAATATATCATCAACTTCTTCAGATTCTTCTTCTGATTCAGAAAGTTCAACAACTGCTTCAGCTAGCTTATCTCTATTTGCTTCTTCTTCTTCTTTTTTCTTACGTTCCTCTTCTAGGCGTTGTGCCTCACGTGCTTTTGCTTCTTCTTCTTCAAGTCTTTTCTTTTCAACTTCAGTGGGAACTCTTTGATAAAACGATGTTGATTTAATACGATCTAATTCGTCTTGTGTTTTATGTAAGATAGTATCTACACCAGCTGTTAGTGCTTTGAATTTTGACCACTCCTCGTCTTCTTCACCGGTTTTTTTTTCCTGTACCGGAGCTGCCGCTGCGCCAGCAGTTGTTGATTGTTCTTCTACAGTTTTTTGTTCAGTATCAGAAGTTGCAGCTGTTGCACCTGTTTCAGAAGAATTATCTTGATTTGGTTGCCCCTGTTCAAGTTGTTGTTGCTTAAGTTTTTGTTCACGTTTATATTGTTCTAGTTCTTCTTCTGTGAAAAGTTCTTGATCTTTTTTGGACTTCTTTTTTTTCTTTTTTAAACCTTTTGGTAGCTTAAGCATTATCTAGTGTACGAGACATCGATGTCGGTCTAAAATACAAAATATTTTTTTTATAATAGCTAAAATAATGTTCTAAATAATAATCTCTATATATAACATAAAAAAAAGGATTGGGTATGCAAGCTTAAACATGTTTAGATGTTAAATAAAATTTTATTTATTCTAGCTAAATTAAATTTTACATTTATAAGTCTCTTCCGAATATTCACAGGTCTAGAAAATAATATATACTCTTAAAGCTACAATTACAATACGTTCGAATACGCACTTCGAATCTTTTATATTTTATAATTATACACTAATTTCACTACAAATTTATTTTCTTTTCTATTTTCTATTGTCAGCAAAAATAAAAAGATATTATATACATATAAAAATTTATTTCGATCAATGTATTATAGCATTTGTTTTAGATACGACGAGAATTCCGGAAAACTATAATTAAATTTCAAAATTTTTTAAATAAAATGCTTTATATTACCTTATTAAATGATCATTACCTTACTAAATTATTCGAGTACGTCCATATTTTATTGCGAGTATTTAAAAATGTTTTAAAAGAATTTAACATGAAAATTTCATAATTATAAGAAAATATCAAGAGAACGCTTTGCTACAATAATTATTATGAAAAAAAAATCGCCTAGATAATAACAATTCATAGTTTTAAAATATTAAACATTATCGCCTTCTCAATCATATTACCTAAAAAGATATTGGCTTCCATTTTCTAAAAATTTAACAATTTAGATAGGTAACACCTCTGGTCATCTTTTAATTTTTTATCATTCATCTATAATTTTTTTAGCAAAAACAATATTAATTAATATAAAAAAAAAAAATTCACCGATTTTTTCTAAAAAATTACAGTGCCAAAGTACAGAAAAAAATCGTTCAATTTTCAACAGTTTTATATCGTAATTAAGATATTCACTTAGAATACACAAATACAGATAATCATTTTGGATGAAAATATACTAAAAGTAAGATTAGCAAATTAAAACAACTATAAAAGGGAATAAGAATTAAAATAAGAAATCTATTTCTCGAACTAAGAAAACTTTGGGAATAATAAATTAATATTATATAGCAAGGAGTGGGGATTCTAAATATTTGGACTGGGACTACACATAAATGCAGAAAAACTATTACTATATATATACATATATATATATATACAAAATTAAAATTAATTAAATTTTTAAAAGAGCACATACATACATATATTTCAATGTATTTAAAATAATATACGCTGGATGTAAAGTAATACAATAGATAATAAGCGATATACACTATTTCTTAAATACTTTGCTTTTAAATATGGTTTATTTAAGCTCTAAAAATATAACATATTCATATATAAATATAAATAATATCAGTATCACATAATATTTTCAATAATGTGCTATATTTATAATAAACCACATGATTTTCATAAATTTAAAATATTACCTTTAAAAAAATAATTTTTTTAAGAAATTATCCAAAGTATTTACTTTATTAATATTATTTATATTACATATATTTACGTGTTTATAATATTAAGAAATTAAAAGGTAAATAATATTTGGTTTAGAGATCATTCAATAAAGTATATAAGTATGTATATAAATTATTACATTTTTATATATGTATTATAATAAATGAAAAAAACAAATTTATATTGGGTTAAATCAATTTCTTTTATAATATAAATAAGGAAATTAACCCCAGAACACAATACAAAACGGTATTTACTCACCCGATTAACCGATTTTCTTTTATATATATATATATGTTAGTGTGTATAATCTGTATTTATATCAAATTTTTTATTCATATCCTATAAAATCAATATTATTTTATATTGAATGTTTGTATATAGAATGCGGTAAATATATCGATTTATTATCCTTTTTTTAATATTTTATACATATATATTATATATACACATATATATATATATATATGCATATAATATAATTTAAATTTATATATACATATATAAAATTGGTCTTTAAATTTTAAAAACAAATATTTTATAACTCTCTTGTTACAAACATTTAACAATAGCCTTAATATCAATTTGACACAAATCTGTGGAAGTGCTCTTAAAAAATTTTTCTTCTATTTTGTTATTTTTTTTTTTTCTTGTTTTCTATTTTTTAACCATTTTTCATTTTTTTTCTCTTTTTTTTTTAATTGTTTTTTTTTTTTTTTTGTTTTTCCTTTTTTTTTACTTTTTACTTTATTTTACTTTTCGTTCAAATATTATTTGTCACACATATTACAAATTACATATAATATTCATATAAGTCAAAAAAAAAATTCTATTTTTCACCACCGCCTAACATCATTATACACAAAATGTCAAATGTAAAAAAATTTCATGGAAAAATCGATTACAAAAAATTTTTGTAATTTTTTTCTTACTGCAAAAAAATAAAAGACATAAAAATTATTTTCTCTTCAATATTTTCGTAAATTTGACATCGAAAATGTTAGCATACAAAATAAATTAATTAAATTACTAAAACATTAACATTAAATAACATTTAAAATTTTTCTAAATTTTTCAATTACAAGACTCTCAAATATTGTAGAAAAAAATTAATACAAAATTTGAAGAGGCAGTCAAAAAAAAAATGAAAAAAAATTGATTTTTTCATCTACCTTTCATTAGAAAAGAAATTTTCTTTAAGAAAATCTCAGTTTTAATTCAGATCAAGTTTTTTTTTTCTTGTCAATTTTAATCCCAAAAAAAAACTTACGTCTCTTACTTATTTCTTTAAAATAAATTGCTTTATTTTATTATTTTTTTATTAAAAAACGATTAAACTCGCGTTTTAAACTATTTTCAATGATTTTTTTCTATTTTAAAACTTGTTAAAAATTATTTTTAAAATTGAAAGAAAAATTTTTTTTTCCTTATATTTTTCGCCTTTTTTTTGTACCCTTTATGTGCTTTGGTAACGTTCAAATATCTTCTGGTTCGTTTAAAATTTATTACGTCGTCGAACTACACAATAAAATTATTTCGAAATTTCGAAATTCGAATTTTTTTTTTTAATAATTATGCAAATATTTGTAATTGATGTGTCAAAATTGATTCTCCTTTCATAACTCGAAATTTTGATTTAAAAAGAAAATATTCATAAACTATAAAATATTTTTAATTCATTAAAAACCTAGTGAATTGTATACGAACATTTTAAATATTTTAAAAATAATAGTATGGGATATGTATGTATGTAGATTTGGTTGCTAGGCTTTAGTGTAAAATTGTAACGTGTTCAACAGCAAAATATTGAAAAAAAAAACAACATAAATTTGTCATACATTTCAAAATGAATCACTATATATGAAACCGTGAGTCATTCATATGAAATGTGCTGAAAAATTTTTAAAAACAAAAAAGACCGAAAAAAAAATTATGTTATGGCGATATTCCAAAAAAAAAAAATTCATTTTCAATTTAAATTTTGCAACACTAAAATTTTGAAATTCAAAAGTGATATGTGCTTTCACTTTTATTTTATGATTTAGTGCCAGTGTGCAAAGATAGTTTTAGGTTTGTAAAGAAATTGACAAAAGTACTTTTCTGTATAATTTTTCACAGTTTTATTATTTTTTTCTGTTTACAAATTTTGTATTATATTGGTTATTTGCTAAATTAAGTGTTGAACACAAATAATTTTCTAAAATATTCTTAAGTTAAAAACAACACTAATCGCCATTGGCATACGCTTTTTTCACATATATTTCGCTTTTCTGCATATGATTTTCAACATTTCAAAAAAAATACGAGTACGAACCTATTCAAAAAATTACTACTATACTTTCAAATTCTTGTCGTTTTTGAATAACCTGCTCAAATTTCTTTTATAGTGGCTAACAATTTTACAATTGTCATTCTGATGTTTAACTGTTGTATTGCAAATATTTAAAGAATACGCAAAATCAATTTATATAAATGTCAAAAAAATTACATCCTCTTCTTATTCTCGTTTTAAATATGTAAATTTTTTTTCGAAGTTCGAAATACATATATGTATACATATAACGTGTATGGATGATTATACATAGTCAGATTAACATAGGCACCTATAAGCTCGATATAGATATACATATGTACATATATCGATTAACGTCATATTCTCATATTTATTTTATGTATCTATTTTCATCGTTTTTTTATCCGCCAATATATTGTGTTTAAAATGACAATATTTAATCACTGTAATTAATTATTAAACCTGGTTTGTTTTATGATTACAGGACATTATGCTACAAAAATATTTTGCAACGATATTCCTTTAATAACGTGATCAACTTCTGTTTCCAAGAAGAAAATTTAATAGAAAATAACTATTCTACAATATTGTGAACTTTTTCTACAATTGTGAAATAATTTTCTTGTTACACATACATAATTACATAAAATTATATGAATTTAGTTTCTTACTTCTTAATTTTTTTAAATTAAAACTCAAATATTGTTATTTGTAAATGATTGTTTAGCTTATTTAACATTATTATCACTAAATAACACCAAAACCTTTTATATTAATTTTAAATTAAAATGAAATTTTCACTTTTTTCAAGGATTCAACAGAATTCAATTAAGAAAACTTTAAAATTTTGCCCTTTGGCACACAATTTTAGAACAATTATTTTTGTAATTTTCTTTTACTTCTTAAAATTTCAATTAAATATCTTTTTTTTATTTTACATTGAATTTACCATTTCAAAAAAATATTTTGTTGTAATTTTTTATGAAAAAAAAATAATATGAATCCACAAGTAAAATATACAACTTTGAAGGAGAAGAATTTAGTGAGAATAAAATAATGACATTTAATTTGACGTCATATAACTACGTATATAGTTACAAACACATACATAAAACATTTTAAAAACAAAACAAAAAAAAATTCGAAAATGGACCTTTATCCTCCTACTATCATATTATTTCTTAAATAAATTTTTCAATGACATTTTTAAGTCATGTGCAATGTTGATTCAAAAAAGAAAATTCGATTATGCGCTGTAAAAATAAAATACAAATATACTCGTATAATTCCACTTTTATTTCATAATTATATTCACCATAAAAACAAAGTGGTGAATATTTAGTTTATTGACATTTTTATAACATACATACTTATTTTAATACATATATAGGTTATGTTATCTATTGCGAATAAATTCACTAAACCCTATAATGTGAATAGCATTTTGACTGTTATTTTGAATATATTTGTATACCTATATATATATACATATATATTAACCGTTAATACACATATTAGAAATTTTATAGTAATACAGTGTTGCCAAATTGATTAATTTTTATATTATTATGCATCATAAATATGTAATGTAAAATTGTTTAAACTAATTTAATATGTAAATTTTTAAAAATTTTCACGAAAATAAAACGAAAATAATTCCTTGAATATAATTATGACTAAAAAAAAGGAAAGTTGGATCAAACCAATGTTTTATAAAGTAACATTTTTCCCTTCAATAAGTGAAAATACTCTTAAAAACCATCTACACTCATCCCTCGCTTTACGAAACTAATATGTTCCGGAAATATTATCCGTAAATCGAAATGCCATAAATCGAATCTTTTTTCTTACATTACGATACCTAAACTTATATAGATACATATAATATTTCTTGTTAATTTGCAAAAAATATAGCAGGATACAATAAGGAAAAAAATATAGTGCATTTTAAAAATTTTCCGTAAATCAAATTTTTTAAAATGTAAAATTTTTTCTGTAAAAAGGGATTTTGGTTTAATTTTTGAATTCCGTAAAAACGAAATTTCGTATAACGAGCTTCCGTTAAGCATGGGATGAGTGTATTGCATTTTAAATTACTTCGATTCATATTTCAAAGATTGTATACATTTAGGATGAAACAAAAACAAAAATTGAAAAAGACATCAACATAATGGCCGAATTCAAGGGTGCTCAATTGCATAAGTTAAGAATAAATCATTATATTTTTTGATGGCGCGACATTTACTATTAGTTTTACATTGCCCATTCGTGTGTCAGTTTACAAAATTAATACACCCTTTAAGATAAAAAGCTGAAATTTTATATGTAAATAAATTTTTACTAGAAATTTCTGTCCGTAGAAGAAATCTCTTCCCTCTAGATATTGTATAGTCTCCCAGAACCCGTAAAATGTAATTTTTTGGCTTGAAATATTAAAAATTGGATTTTAAACCGAAAAACTTATTAACAAAGCGACTCTCTGAAAACCGTTTTTCTTTGCAATGAACAAAGTTTTTTTTTTCTCTTAAACCGGAATAGGTGTATTCGTATACATATGTATTTATAGACAATGCACAGACAATATTATGGTAAATAAAATTGAAACATTCTTATTAAAGCTTTTTTTGCAATGTTTAATTTTCAAAAATTAAGTACATATTCTATATCTTTGTATGTATGAATGAAAATATGTGTATTTAAAAATTATGAGTAATAATAACTGTGTAAATAACTAAGACCTGTAGATTCAATTTTCAAAAGGTAATATATACCATAAAATTGTTAATAAAATTTCAAAATAAATATTATTACGGTAATTGTATGTACAATATATGTATACCGTATATTGAATTGCCATTTTATGAAAAATTTTATTATTAAAGTTTTATAGAACATAAAATTTTATATATATTATACCAGGGCTGTGCAATTTACGGATGTTTGAGTGCCAGGAAAAGGTTATTTGTTATGTAATACTAGAATCTCATAAAAAAAAGATAATATGTTGGATAATATTTTTTAATTTTAAAACTAGCACAAGTAGTCAACTCTATATACTCCCCATTGAAATGTTTTCTAAGGGTTGTTTGAAAAGAATTGTTATACAACTTTTGTAAACAATTTGATAGAATATTCATTTTTTTTTTCGAAGCTACCAAACACATTTAGGAAAAATTTTAATACTCTAATAATAATATTGTTGTTTCCGAGATATGGTCTGTAAAATATAACAAACTAACTTATAACGTATTTACCTTTGATTTCATTAATTTCAATCTTAGTACTTTGTAAAAATTTATTTGCTTGTTTTGAAAATCGTCAGTTCTTATGATAAAATATTTGACAATAACAAGGTGTCGTTGAGCAGCACTGACGTGTACAACAATACACCTTTTGTTTACACACAGATTAAAAGTTCCCAAATTTACAAATGTTAACACAAATAGAAATTAAAACTTATGTTTTAGTAAATAATCAGCAAAATTATAGATAAACACTAAAGTCCCTGATTAGATAATTTGGTTTTGTTAAATTCTGATAATATCTTTAAAAGTGAAATCAAATTAACAATAATAAAATTGATTTTATATTTTAAAGTTTAAAGAGGTTTTTAATCCTCATAGCACTTGAATATGAGGAAATGGATTTATTCTTTAATTAAATGCTGTCAAATAACATTTTTAGTAAGATTTCCAATTTAAAAATATTGTTAATTTTTAATTTAATCATAATTCATTTTTTTCTTCTGTCTAATTATAGGTTTACATTATATCCGGTTCAGCAAAAATTGTTGTTTTGGCATTAAAAACATGTAATTATCGTTCATTAGAAAATCTACCACCAAAAATTTTTGCATATCATGCATGCTGGGGATGTTATATTTATAATAGACCAGATATTTTTGTTAATAATACACCTGTAATGGCAATAACTTGTCCAGTTATACAAGAATCGAAAATATTTGAAGTTCCAGGAATAAAAACTGAAATGAAATGTGTTCCATTTCATTATAGTCATGTTGAAATTGATTTACTCATAAGTAAAAGTTTCAAATGGAAAGATAGTGTTGAAAAATGGATTAGTTGTAGTAAAGATGCAGAAAAATGTTGTCACAATGTAATGTTTAATGAAAATGAAGAAAGTGGTAACAACTGTTTTGCAATATTTTTGTTTATAAGACTGGTTTAATTCTCTTTCTCTTTCATTTAATTATATAAAGACAAATGTAAAGGGACATGGGATGGATGGACTTGTTTTGAATCTACAAAAGCTGGAACTGTAAATACAAAAGTTTGTTCACAATATGCGTATACAAATCAACCACCTCGATGTCATCGTATGTAGTATTTAAGAAGTATCTTCGTTCCTCTAATAATTTTTTTACTTTTTATTTATATTTTAGATTTTTGTCATAAATTATGTTTTGAGAATGGAACATGGCAAGCACATACAAATTATGCAACATGTGATGTTACACCAACATTCTTATTTCGTCTTAAATGGAATTTAGGAACATTAGCAACATCAGCAATATTTTGTGTTCCAGCTGCATTTATTTTATTAATTTTTCGTGATTTAAAAGCACCAAAATTAAAAATGATACGAAATTTAATATTATCAATTATTTTACATAATATTTTATTACTTTTAGTTAAAATAATTATAATATATGATGAATTAACAACACCAGAACATAATACAGTAATGTCAAATAATAGATGGCCATGTAAACTTTTAACATTTTTAGAAAAATTAAGTGGAAATTTTGTTTTTACATTTATGTTATTTCAAGCAATATATTTACATCAATTATTAACAAATCCATTTAAATTTCGACGTATTGGTGATACACAATTAATAACATTACAATTTTGTGGAATATTTCTATCATCAATATTTGTATTTGGTTGGGCAATTGCAATGGTTCTATATAATGATGATAATTGTTGGCAAGTAACTGATGGTACAATGTTAAGTTGGCTTATAAATATACCAAGATTAATAATGCTTATTATAAATTTATTATTATTAATACATATTGTATGGACATTATGGAGTGCATTTAAAAGTAGAGAAGGTGAACTACAACCAAATTTGTGAGTATATTTTATAAAGTATATCATAAGAACTATATGATTTTATTTCAAACTTGTAAATGTGCAAATCCCTACATAAGGTGTTAAATGTTTCCCAAAAAAAAGTTTAACATTCCTTGATCTAAATCACTCCACAATTCCAGAATACCTTGGCAGATGGTTGAATTTTTATTAAAGTATCATCAAATACTATCTACGAACTTTTTTAAATTTAAAACTTAAATAGAATTTAAGGTAAACTTTAGATAAACATAACACTTTCTTAATCAAAATTTCATCTAAAGAAGTTTTTCAAATCAACAGCTGAAATTATAGATTTAAATTAATTGCGCCTAATACTGTTCTTTGAAATTCTCACTTATGCCTTCTAAATTCCAAATAATTCAAATGAGTTTTATAATTTAGTTTTGGTATGTCTCATCCATATCTTATGGAGTAGCAAAATAATACGCCAAAACGGACAGCCCCTTTTGTGTTTATTATCTGTAAAAAATTCAAAATTATTCAAAACTAGATAAGTTAAAAATCACAATTTTTCAATATATACGAAAACCGACTTCAGAGATCATATTTGGATTTTTCTTCTTAATTATCATTAAAATTTGTTCCCAAAAAATACACATGTAAGTTGTTTTGTAATTGATAATTAAATTTTTATTTTTAGGCGTACAGTCAAAGTTAGCCTTTTATGTTTACCATTATTCGGTATACCATTCCTTTTTATGGTCGTTCATCCATATTCAGAAAGTTGTGAATTATTGCATTTTTATTATATAAGCATGTATTTAATTGAAGGTGCACAAGGTATTTTAATAGCAATATTTCACTGTTATACTGAAAAAGAGGTAAGTATATAATATATAAAAAACATATAGTAACAGTTTTAGTTACATACTTGCATATTATTTATATAATTTTAATAATTTCAAGGTAAAAATAAAATTTGTGGCTATTGGAACTGCAATCAAATTATATTTTAAGAATTTATGCATTAAAAGAAAATAAAATAATTATATAATTTATTATTATTTAAATATTTGCATGTAATGTTGAAAGAAAAATTGTATAATCTTTGGGTGTATTTAAAAAAAAAAAAAAATTTACATTTATTGTGATTCCATTTCGTGTTCTTATTAAATTTAATTTTGACCTAAATTTTCTCCTTCCTTTTTTAAATATAAATATAAGCTGTAGAGCTTTATAAAATTTAAATTTTTTAAAAAATGAATAAATAAAATCAAAAATTATTTTTCTTTATGTTTTCTAAATTTTAACATGTAAATCGTATATTAAAGCTAAATAAAATGTACACGAAATTTATTTTTTGTATTTTTATTTAATATTTAAATACTTAATGTATAATAATTATATAATTTAATTTATAAGATTTGTATATATTTTAAAAACTACTGCATATGTATAACTAAATTTTGCCAAATGAATTTTAAATAAATTTTTCATACATTATGGCTAGTTTGAAATGAGCTCAATGGAAATTGAAATGGTAAGATTAAAGTATCCATACACTCACTTACTTAATATAACAATCTCTTTATATGATTGTAATTGTCATATTTTAATTAAAGCTATATAATTTTACTGTACTATTAATAAATATAAAATCATAAATTTTTAAGAAATTTCCAAAAATATTAGGAAAAAATCGTATGAAATTTGGAATTGAGATATGAATAAGAAAATATTGTTTCTTTACCCATAGATCCCACAAATTACGATTATTTTCGATGAGATAGCAATGTATATTAAAACCAATTTTTTATCGAATATAGCAGCATAAGTAAATATTGTCAGTAATTAATTCTTAATTGTGATTTAATAACAAATCCGATACTGAATAAAATGCCACAATTCATAAAATATATTGTCTTATACATTGTTGAATGTGTTAACCTGATAATAAATAGCTGGGTGTAGTTGTAATTTTAGTTGTAAATTTTTGTTTTAATATTCAAATTTATTTTATCTATATTTTCTGACTTATTGATTGATATAAGACGTTCTGATTAAATATTTTAAATCAATTGTTCAATTTGGTATGACAAACTATGTTTTGTTTAATTTGAAAGTAACCTAAGTCCATTTGGAATTTCAAAACAATTTTATTTCCAAAGTAATAATGTCAATAGCTGGAATTAAAACTTTTGTTGTCGGGTAAGAAAAATCCAAACGGAGGAGTTGCTTTAAATCCAAACGGAGCAATATCTAATTTTTAATTGAAATGGACTTACGTCACTTTTAAGATAAACTATTCCATAAATGAAATAAAAATTCATAATTTGACTTTTTAATTTCTAAGTTTAAAAAAAAGACTGCATGTATTTGTTACAACTTAAATAATTTTATTTTGGCAAAAGTATATTGAAAAAATTAATATAGAACACAGCCTTATTAAAATGTAAAATTATGACGTATTTTTTAGTAGCTTCAATTTGTAATTGTAATTTTCTATCAAACTAATAAACGTTAAGTTTTTTCCGTGTTTTTAGAACTTAGTTGTCATAATAATATATAGACATTGCAAGTTTATTAAACAATTAGAAATGAACTATTAGAAACAGCCACACTTGAACAATATAGCAATATTTTTGGAATAAATAAAAAATTTTTTGCATAACAGAATGTTAATTATATACGTCACCATTTTGATAACAGCCGAGTAAAATGTCCTGATTATAAGAGAATATTTTTGAGCAATTTAACTAATTAATCATTTTATAGAATTATTTAATATAATTATCACGAGTACAATATCATTAACCTTGAAAAAGTTTTTAGCAATATTATAACATAAGTTAAACAAAAATAAATATTGTGTCAAAAATGAAAGATTACATTTCCATCGCACTTATCAGAATTACCGACAATTACCTTTAATTATAAACAATTTTCATTAATTATCTACAAATATAAATTTTTAATATTACAGTTTTGAGCTGTCAAAATATATTATGTATACTCATTTATTACATGCCCCTTTATTAACGAAAGTAAAGTAGTCTTATTTTAACATACTGTAATTATTATATACATATTTTTATGACTACACATATGTAGGATAATTATCTTTAAGTTGTACATGCCAACTTATACATAAAGCATATTTTACTAACAAGTTAGTAAAATGTTATTAATTGCTCATTTTTTATTTATAAAGTAAATAGTTAAATTATTACATGTGTAAGTGCTCATAGTTGAAGATTTCCAAATATTTCTTTGAATGAAAATTGTCGTCTATTAAATTGTTAAATAAAATTTATTGAATTTAATTGAACAATTTAATAGTTACTTATTATAATCTCGTATATTGAAAATATTTTGATAAAATAATATTATGGTAATAGAAATAAATTGGTAAATCACAGAATATAAATTTTTTTAACTTACTTGTAATTTTATTAGGCATTTATCAGTACAGTCGGACTCGTTTTTTAGACCACCCAAAATTTGCACATTTGCTACTACTTATAAACAGGTTTTTACTCTCCTATAATTATTATTCAATTTAACCCGCTTTCTCTAAGATATTTTCTATAATAAATCCAATATTTGAGGTGAAATTGTTGTTCGTATCTATTAAGATTAAAAATTTCAGTTTTTCTCTTAACATCTTCTTCTTTGAAATTTAATAAAATTATTAAGGTATTCATGTTTAAATTATTATTAAAATAGTTTTAAAATTATGAAATGTAGAGTTTTGGGAATCCAAATTACTCTCTATTTATTTTTTTTTAAATACTCTCTAAGATATTTTCTGAAGCACTTCTATTATTCGATTATTAAATACAACATTTCCTATTTCCATTTTTTAATTCCAATATAATTTGTTATATAAAAAGACCCCAATAATCTTCTAAAGAAGAGAATTCTAAGCATAATTTCCTCCCACAATTATGGTACTTAGCAATAATTTTAGTACTTAACAAAAAAACGTAGTTAAATCACCAAATTTACAATTTTTAATTATGTTTCAGAAATTTGCCAAGAAATACGTATAGGTTCCGATAATTTCCAATAAAACCCCAAATAATTGCTATTATTTTGATTGGCTTGTACAGTTTAGTATCGCATGTGTTATAAAATCTGTTAAAAGTTAAAGTTTATTGCGACAGGTTTCAAATTATTTAAATTATAGGTAAATTGGCCATTCATTACATACTCTTATTTTGAAAAATCCTACATCACTTCTATCCTACAAACTATAAAAAAATTAAACAGTTTTTATGTGCCATAAAATTAATCAATCATTATTGTGACTCGTTCATTTTCTTATCACTTTAATCTTTCACTTTTATTACACATTATTCTTTATTGAACCTAATTAGGCTTTATCATTTTTGTATAGAAACATCATCAATCAATAAAAAAATCATATTATACAAATTTCATTGTTAATGAAGTGCACTTCTACTACAAACAGGTAAGTATATTCAGTGTATATAGTTAGTGTATTCATGTACGTAAGTGTTAAAGAAGTGGAAAAAATCATTAATAAAAATATTATTTTCTTGCCACTTTGCTACTTAATTAAAATGCACTTATAGATATTAGAATCAATTTTTATATACATAAGTATAATTTTTTGTAAAATATTATAACAAAAAATTTATCTAAACAGCACATAACCTCAAACAATAATATGTACGTGTACTGTACCTGTACAAACATAAGTATGCCACCAGCTTGTATTAAATTTGCGAAAAATATCTATACGAAAATGTGAAAACGTTTGTTCAAAGCTATTTTAAATTTTCAAATTCATTATTTTCATTATTGAGTAAAATTCTAGAAAAATAAAGAGCGAGAGACTTCGTAGAGGTTAGTATTACTTTTAAATAATTTCTATGAAGAGATTGTTACATCAATCCCCAGACGTGAGTCTAATTGAAATATAAAATTTAAAGAGAATCTCTTAGTTATTATACCATATATTATTTAATTAAGGTACCTGATTAGTCCAAGAACTTAATCTATTTATTACACAGTGAGAAACTAAAGTAGATCAGCAGATAGGGTGGCCGGCATTCCGTTAAAAATGGGATTTTTAGATTTCTCACTCGCTGAAACTCGATATGTGAAATTTAATGTGTTCACAATATATTGCGTATACAATGAAATCTGTATAAAGCTTGTAAGGTTTATTTATAAGTATATTTAAACCTAAAAGTTTTTAATTACACAATTAAAATGACAAAATTATTCAAACTAAAAATAAATTTTTGTTAATATTTCCTACTGATTTTAAATAAATTAATTTCAAATTTAAGAAATTTCAAAATATAGATATATTGTTGTATGTATACAATAGAATGCAAATATTTCATCGCCTAAATGTATGCAAAATTTACATTTTACTTGTATTATAAAAGTAAATATTTTTCCGGCGAAAATGTAGGCATTATTAATATAAAAATTAAAATACAATATTTTACCTATAGCTATATTTGATATTTTAAAATAGAAAATTTTATTATTTTATTTTGACTATGTATCTGTACAAATTTTCGATTTAAACCCTCAAATCTACAAAAATTATACATACATATATGTACGTTCTCATCTCTTTAATAAATGTTCGTATTTTACAAATTAACTGATTTTTAAAATTAACATAACTCTTTATAGTTAATGGAATTCCCACTTTTTCCTTCTTAACACAGAATTCTAAAGTCTAAGAGTCTTAGTCATTGAATTACTCACGTGCCATAAAATTATTAAATCCAGGTTTATTATATAGAGGTTAAATGAACTTAAAATCATTATACACCTACACCAACATCCCCATTTTCTTATACAACATACTTTTACTTTGTGTTTCATATACATTCGCAACAATGAATAAAATGAATTTATTGTTGTAGGTAATTAGAAAAAAAATGTGCGTGCCTAAAAAGTATTTTTGTAAAACATAAATCAAATTTGGAGTTTTTATAAAAGGTTGAATAAGATTAAAAGCTCTTGAACTTACATATAAAGTTATTGTAATACACACAACAATGAAGCCAATAGATGAAAGCAATATAGATGTTCCTATAAGTGTATTATTAGGACCACCGAAAACAAATCACATCTTAATTATTTATGCCTTTAATGTAAAAATTTTTTCTAATACTTGCAGCTTTTGTGTTATTTTTCAAATTTTTTCTAGCCAAATATTTTAGTAAACAATAAATGACATTGAAAACGAACAACAAAATTTTCGTGTGAAAAATTAATATGTATGTATGTATGTATTTTATTTTACACTTGAATAACAATGGTTTCGGTTGAATTTCATGACAACAAAATGAAAAATTTAAAATGACTTGTTTAGTCAAACAATTTGAGAAAAAATAGCAAATAGTAAAATGATTTTCTTTACAATTTTTAATATTTCTTTAAGATTACATACTTTTTCGACAGATTATACGCATGATTATTAAAATATTTCTATGGACTGTATAAATGGACTTTATTTCATGAAAACTAATTTTCCACAAGCACTTTGAAGTTCTTGAAAGGACGAACTCTTTCGGAAGATTAGTTTTTGTTATTAAAATTATCTAGTATTCTTACCATATGTACTTGATTCAAAAAAAATTGATCTCACTTAAAACTCACATGATAAAAACTTTACCCTTAATGAGCTCAATGAGGCCACCGTTAATTAACCTCATTTTGGACTTTGAAATTGCTATTCAAAATTGCATTGCAGTACATAAGATTATTAATTTAAAAAAGCCAACTTCCATTCTAATTGTACTGCCAGACGTACTGGATACTTGTTTTTGTGCAAGCTCTAATTTTTTAATAAAGATACTGTAAGAATGTACTGTAGATTTTCATTCCTTTATTCGTTTATTCCAGAAGTAGTTGCGTTTTTTTCTGTGAAACAATAATGAAATATCTACTGCAATTATAATATGAATGGCAACACCAGATTTATGCGATTTTAATAAAATTGACAAAACTATCAAAATTCAAAAAAGGTCAATAATTATTATTAATTTTTTATCCTATTGCCCGCCCTGCTATAGTCGCCATAGATTGCAATGCATATGGCATAAACAAGCACAATATCACCAGAATTCTCTTTAAAAATTATTCTCTAATAAAAAAACAATAAGAAAAAGAAAAAAAATAATATCAGAAAAAAAATTAATTTTTCTTGTTTTTGGATATTTTTCGGCACAATCTTACATACATACGGGTATATATGGGTTTGAAACGTAATACTAGCATATGTAGGTTTGTAAATATATTTTCAACTTTTTATATTAGACATCAGACTTAAAAAAAATTTTTGTTTTATAATTTTTGTTAAATAAAAACAAAACAAAGAAGCCAAAATTCGAATAAATTATACAGACAAGGTGTGCAATTTATGCGGTTCGTTGCCAATTAGATTTTTGCAAGTTAAATTTTCAAAATATTTCTGCTTCTTTTCTTTCCTGTCAATAGAAAATGTGCCATAAGATGGTTTATCGCAAAATTGAACTTAAAAAAACTCAAAAAAAGGCGAGAACAGTGTTCAAATTTTGCCGCAGTTAAGCACATTTTTTGGTTCTTAATTATTGACTGAAATAACTCTTAACCGAACTTTCATCTAATCTAAACTAAATTTTGTTTTTGCAGAAATTGTTTTATGCCAAAAATGGGCAATTTATGAATAATGAATAACCATTGAAATTTTGACGAGAAATATAAAGAATGGGCTCTGTGAATATCAATATAATTTAATTTTGTATTACTCGTACAACTTATAAAAAGGTGTTTAAATATATGTAAGTATTATTAGCTCGTTATTACTGTCGTACTATCTCATAAGGGCTGACATGGTTTAGAGCTTTTATATAAAATTATGCTATTTTGAACGCGTGTTTTGTTCAAAAATTGTTGTTTTAATTTAAGAATGGTGGTACAACTTGTACATATAAGAGAGTCAAATAAATATTCGCCTTCATTCTTTTTCTTTTTTCTTTCTACTTTTTGCCACCAAAAATTTTCTGTTAATTTGTGTTTTGTGTTGTGTTTGTATTATAAAAACAAAATCAGAAATTTTTTCTTTGCCCATTTATTTTGTTATTCTTTTAGTACCGCCAAATGAATTGAATAGAACGGTTTAAAGTGGTTGTTTTTATAGTTCCGGTTAAATTTGGCTCTATATTCGCTGATTGTATTCTTATATTTTTTTTGTTTTGCTTGTTTGTTTTTCAAAAATAATTAATTTACTTAATTTTAATATTAACCTTGTAAATTATTCAGTTTGTAAAAATTTTGTTTTATAATTACCAAAAAAAAGACAAGTTTGTAATTAATTTAGAAGTTGCATCGCAAAATTATGAGGTATGTGAGAGACCGGGGATAAGTAAAATATTTTTTGATGTATGATTTTTACAAGTTTATTTTTAAAATAACAAATAAGTGGTAATAATATTTCGTTGATTACATTTTATTTGATGTATGTACATACATATGTATGTATATATGTATGTAATATAAAATTGTATTAAATATTGAGAAATAAAAGATCAATTCATTAAATACAGTGAATAAGTAGTAAGTATATACTTAATTAAATGTGTATATAAAGTGAGGTTCATATTTTGTACGCCCTTACTTTATGATTTATGTAAAAGTTATTCTTTTCATATAAACAAAGGAGTGGGTTAGGATATAACACAGTGCAAATGCAAACAATATCAGCCATAATAAGCTCATAGACTGTGAACAAATTCTAAAAATGATAACAAATTCCTGTGAAAAGCTTTGCTGAAATAAAATGAAAAAAAAAGTTCAAAAAAATAGCACGGTGGATAAATAGCTTTGAATATTTCAGGTCATATTTTGGAGTTGTAATTCCCAAAAAATAATAGCTTTTATTACTTTTCAAGCAGACGCCATACGTATAACAAATTTTTAATTATCTTTACTACCATCATTACAATACAAATTGATTTCATATAGTATACCAAAATCTATGACGCTTACTGTATGATCTCATTCAGTAAATTTTTCTTTAAATTTTTTATATCCAAAATCGTTTACTATTTCAAGTACATTATACACAAATACATACTGTAGTAATAAAAATTTTTAAATACATGCACCCATATACACTATACGTTGTTCTTTTGAAAAAGCTATAATATTGTTATAATAAGTATAACATGATGAAAACAAAATTTTGCCAATAGCTATATTTTTGTTCTATGAGATTTTAAAAATAAAGTAGGTAGATACTAAAATTTATAAATTTTAATAATTTGCAAATAAAGAATGCTATTCTATACAGTTATCAAAAATTATTTATAGAAAAGTATGAGGAGCTTCCATAATTATTTAGAAATTATTTTTATTTAACATGGGAGAGTATGTCTGTGTATCATATACAAATATAATATGTATATACCTATGTGAAAGAATAATATGTTGTAATCAATTTAGTAAATAGTGTAACTAACGTATTATATACAATTCTTCATATTGGAATCCTAAGTATTTCCAATATAGTATTATGGGAAAATGAAATTTTGAATATTGACACCTAGGACATAATACAAGACCAATAACTGAGTTTGCCGATATAGGTTTCAAGTATATTATGAATTTATATGTGTGTAGTAATGTTATCTGCATTAAAATTTTAAAATCTATTTACCATTAAATTTGTATGTTCATTTTAAATCACATTAAGCAATATTGTGGTGTGATTTTACACTGATTAAAGCAATGAAAAATTATTAAAAAAAATCTAAATTAATCTCTTATCTAAATTAATCTTTACAATCCAAACCGATGTTGTAAAATGTAAAGTATTATTACAAAATTTGAATATCCTATATTTTTGGGAATAACAGCTCCAAATATGACCTTAATAATTTTCCACAGTTATTTACTACATTCACATTTAATAAATAATTAATGAACTGAAAATACATTAGCCATTCTCATATAATCAAATAATATTTATCTGAACAAATCATTGCTTATGCTGACTTGAAACATAAATAACACATTGGCATACATGCAAACGGTGATAAGGCTAAAAATTATTATTAAGTTTTAAATATAATGAAAAAATAACGTTATATGCTAATATGCGATAAAATGAAGAACAGGCAAAAACTTTTCCGTATCAATATAATCAGATCATTTTTGATGAAAAATATTAAAGTAAACTTTATTTGCTTAAGTTGTTCGCACAGACGCTTTCATATAACGAAAATATTGCAGAATCTCGTAAAATATCACAGCCATTGGACATTATCTGGTCCAAAGAACGAATTTTAAAAAATTTAAATCATTAAATTTTTTAAAAATAATTTTAAATATATTGAAACTAAATAACCATGTGTTGCACATTTAAAAAATTGTTTGCTAAATCTTAAAAAAATAATATACGCTTATTTGGATCTAGTAAACAGTTTATCATGTTTACGCAACAATTGTGCCTGTCTGGCCGTCTGGCTACCTTCCCGTCTGTCTATTTGCCTAAAGAAAAAAATCTGGTTGTCAATTTCAATTTTTCTTAGCTGGGAGTCACTCAACTTTTACTATATAGGCCAAATTTTTATTTCTTTGCAAATTAAAATTCTGAAGCAATAAACCAGCGAATTTGTTGAGAATATCCGTTCTGAAAAACCGAAATTTTACTAGGGGCATTTTTGACAATATTTATCTTAAATAAGTGAAATTCCTTGAAATTTAATATGTTTTTCAGTTCTGTTTGTCAACGAAAGCAACCGACAAAGTTTCCGATAAAAGAAATCTGTTTGCAGAAAGTTAACCAATGTACGAAGAACTAAATTCATACATTGAAATAAATTAATAATTGCTGATCACATCATTTTTTCTGCTATCAATTTCCAATGTTTAGATTATAAGTTTTTTTTATTTTTGTCTTGCGGTTATGTTATTTTTTACATTCTTATAATACTTTTTGGTTATACATTTTTTGTTGTATTTATTATGTATACAGAAGTACATACACTTATAATATATGATATCCATAGGTATAAGGCATTACGAAAAAGCTTAGGTGTCATAGAAATGTCATAGTGTTCTAACAATTCACATTTGAGAGCATAACCTTGTGATACTTCAAATTCAACTTCAAAGAAGACTGAAATATTTTATTTGTTAAAATAAAAAAAAAACATCAATTAAGAATTTCTTCTTCCTTGCTGTTAACTTTAATTTATTTTGTACGAACGTGCATCATTTGACAAAGCTTTAATATTTTAAGCAATTCTTAAAAAGTAAAATCTTAACTATGCATACAATATTATAAAATTTATTGAATAAAATCTTATATAAATTTTAAACTGTTCATAACAAAACTTTACTCGTATAAAACGATTTTTTTAATTTTCACTGGCGCAACATTGCTGTTTACATGAACACGGATAACTTAATATTTTTGTTAATGTTAATTTATTGAAAATATTGCTCTTATATGATAATCAATGAAAATGGTGTTAAGTATGTAAGTGCGAGAAATTTCAAAACTATGCTCTGCTACTTCAGTAATTTACAACTCAGAAGTTAAATTTTGCGATAATGCCAGATTACTATAATTTTTAAATTACAGGTTATATAAATAAGGGTATGACGATATGTGACATTATTTACGTATTGAATTATATTATTTAATTAAAATTTTCCAATATATAATCAAAATTTATTAGGGCAACATAATACTAAAATTAACCCTTGTAATAGGTAATACGGCTATTTTTACCCAAAAAAAATTTTTGTCTGCTTGCTTGTAAACCACTTAGTTTCATTGTTAACCGCTTCAATTTGGTAATGCATAGCGGTATACACAAATCTAATAGTGTGGCGAAAATAATTTTGTCATTTGTATACATACATACAGACATACATACATAATAAAGATTCGCGTAAATATTTTAATATCAGTTTTAAATAAACATTTATAAATACACCATATATTTTTCTATAAACTAATATAATATTTATAGTTCAAATTGTTATAAATTCTGAACAAAAGCAACCATATCAATCAAGTATAGTATAAAAATAAATTTAAATGGTTTCTCTAACATTCACCTTCTTCTACCCGTATTTATACGTTCTTATAACAAACTATATTAACCTTGAAAATTGGTTAACCTAAATGTATAATATGCAAGCATGAACAATCTACTATGTATATACAAAATATTTATATTAACATACACGTGATGTTATCATAAGCATAAAATCGAAATATACGTACTGACATAATTTTGTAACATATTATATTATACAATATACATACATATATATGTATAAATTTGTGAACTTAACAATAGATTTGTAATCGCGATTTGAAGTTTTAGCAATGAGTGTTATTTCCGTACGGTAATAAAAATTTCTCCATACATAAAACACAATACAAGAATATGTACATACGAGTATTTGTACATATGTACACGCACGTCATGAATAAGAATATGTCATGTACATACATATATGTGTATAACATTTTTTTTTAATTAAATTATTTATTATTAACAAAATTACATGAATAGTAGGAAAATTATTTTAAAATATCCCAATACAATCTATTGTACAATATTTATTTTTAATAGCTTTAAATAAAACATGTAAAAACATTTAATTTCATTTAAATGACGAAATTTACCAGCACACACCTATTAAACACAATGTACATATATACTCGTACATAAATGAGTATGTATGTATATACTTATGACACAATACTATACAGGGTGATTCTACAAGATGTATACAACACCATATGCCATTGATTAGAGGATCGAAAATGGGTAAAACTTTTGTTCCGTACTGGGTACCAAATCTCAAGGGTTTCTGAATTCAAGGGATTTTAACCAACTTTTTTTGGATCAACCATACAGCAATTTTAGTTTTTTTTAGAAATTTATTTAAAATTAATTAATTCCATTCATAATGTAAATATCACAAACTTTATTAAACACAAATATAAATACAAATTAAATTTTCCTATTAAAAAAAAATATTTTTCTATTAAAATAAATGTCAAAATTTATATGGCATGTCTTCAAAAATTCGCTGCAGCTGAATAATTTTAATAACTTCAGATGCCCAATGGTGTCTAGATTCTAAAAATTATTTTTCTAAATTTTTAAATTGCACCCAATCTGAGAAAAATGCATTTAAAAATTTCAAACCATATAGGTACCATTTCTTATAAAATTTGGCGAAAATTAAAAATAAATCAATTTTCTTTACCAAGAAAAGTTTCGAAAAAAATTTTTTGATTACTAGATTTTTTTTTTGTTTTTTCAAAATGAAAGTTCCAGTTTTTCTTTTCAAAAATTTAAAATTTTTTAAAA